CTTTGTCGGTAATGTTAATGTTATTCTGCCTATGTATCATGCGCCGCTGTGCGGCTGCTGGTTGGGCTCGAGAGAGAGTCCATAAGGCACAACGGAACGAGTGAGTTCCGTATGAACGATCGGTGAGCGCCCCCCCAACATTGTATATTCCCGATCGAAAACCGACAAGGCAACGGGTTCGTGGCCCGGTGAGTAGAGGCGTTGACTTCTAAACCAACAGGTCGCGAGTTCGAGGCTCGGGTGTTCCACACTTCGGGCTTGGGTATGGCTGGCTGACGACGGCTAATAAGCCAGAAATGGCCATTCCAGTCTCCCTTGTCTTTGTCGGCAATACCATTCTGAATATTGGGTATGCTGTGTCGTGTTCAAACTCCCTCGAACAAGGCTAGTGAAGGTCTCGTTGCCCAGGGGGCTCTTGGTTTTCGAAACTTGTCACATAAATTTGATGCATATAAACATATAAAGACATTTATTAGGATCGCGATCTTCAGTCCCCAACAACCTCTTCATCAGGCTCAGGAGACCCCTACATCGACAACTCTAAATTCCTCGAGAGGCAGGCCACGATGCGACTTCGGAGGACTTAAAATAGAAGGTAGCATCTAGGCGAAGACATCGGTGTCCTGTCTTCCAGCAAGAGGTGACTGTTTATTGGAAACGGCTGAATCTCGTCCGGAAAAGTGTCTTCTTGCAGTGACAAGGGTAAATCGTTGTTTTGATACGATAAACTGGCGTCACTAAGCATTAGATATACCCCCTCAACTTAATAGGCCCAGTGGGGAATTCACCATGACGGTATCACGACCGCGGCCCAGAGCCCAAGACCAGCGAACCAATAAGAACTTTCTGAGACGCGTGAGAGGATTATTTGGCATGACAGAAATATCGGCTATCACTACCTCACCTGACTGCTGTTCACCCGCAGTTGGTCCCCCCTTAATACATATGTGGTCTCACAAAACAAAAGTCAATATCAGTATACTAAACCGTACTTATGCAAGGAAGCCAGATCGCTTTATCGACGTTCAGGACAGTCAACACGTTTTAAACGAATTCGTCACTATCGACTTAAGTCAGCAGCAAGAATTTAGGTCTAGAGGATACGACTATAACCAGCCCCACACTTCTCAGTGGCATGGAGGCTTCAACCCTACAGCAGATCATGAAACATCTTTAAACCTGTGCACCGGTTGTTCACATTCTATTCGACTGCCAGAAGTGCACTGGATTACTCCTCGTCCAAAAAATGCAAGAAGCGCATAGTAGGCCAGCTCGTACAAGTGAAACCAGTGTTACGGCATGCGCGTAGAGACAGTTATGCGTAGAGTGGCTGCGCCCTCTTATTCTGTTCAAGTCGCCCTACATCCCACCGTCTATTCGACAAAATAGAGAAGCTGGACCAATTAGAGTCATGCATCACGGGGTGAAGGTGAGGAATAAAATGAGAGAACGTAGCGGCGAACGGAAGTAAGTGGTAACAATAACAGCACATACGTCGGAGAAATCAAGTAATGCCTCAGATGCGATCGTAAATACGCCAGCGGACGGCATGGTGCGTAAGTCGAAACTCCAGTTTGGTAGGTAGACACTGGAGAAGAGGGCCGATTTAGGCATGTCCACTGGGAGTATCCTCGGTCGAGGCACCTAACAGTCGACGCGCATAATAACGTAGAACCAATCAGCGGATCGCCAATCATCCACAGGTCTGGGAGTCTGACGTCATCAATTAGACGGGTGTGATCTGACGCGGGAAGGAACATACGAAGCTGAGGATAGAGTAACTCATCCAAATTTTTTTAGGACGACGCAGTAAATCAAAGCGGTACAGTAGTCCTTCAGGTGGCCAACCATCTTACAACAAGTTTGACGGTAAGGAGGGCAGGATAAACGTTTCCAGGCTCCCCAAAATTGGACTTCAGTCCTGTGGGAGCTTGAATTTCGGAAAGCAGGCCACAAAATCCAAGACCTCAGATGGTAAGTAAAACTGATTCCGAGAGGCGCAGCATTTGGCTTAAACTTCTACAAAGTAGTGCTAACTGCACTTACCTGGTGAGAATTTGTTGAAAACGTGCGCAAGTTTGCAAGCTAATCATCTACAGTCGCATGCATTGAGGAGAAATGCATCATTACAGAGGTACGTTCAGTGCCATTTGCCGGTCTGCCATGGGGTGCGTTGGTATAGCGCACGTTCTTAGAGTAACGGCCGGCCATGTTACACTAACGAATACTCACGACAGAAATGCGACCAGTGTCTTTTTCAGCGAAGCAGTTCGACCTGCCTGACTGCCCGAAAGATCCCGGACAGGAGTAACAGTAAGTAACTACATAGTAAATAGGGGTGTAGGGGTGTCAGCGGTGGGTTCACGTAATGGTCGTGGTGGTCGCTCACTTGCTTGCAGGTGAGACTGCGCCTAGCGTCCACTTGCTGGCACTCAACTCTCACGGAGTTGTCTCAGAGGCATTCGCAGTGACCAATGGAGTAAAGCAGGGCTGCGTACTGGCGCCTACCCTCTTCAGTCTTATGTTCTCTGCCATGCTGATGGACGCCTACCGCGACGAACGCCCTGGAATCCGCATCGCCTACAGGACGGACGGTCACCTCCTGAATCAACGGCGGATGCACTTCCAATCGCGCGTATCCACAACCACCGTTCACGAACTCCTCTTCGCCGACGACTGCGCCCTAAACACCACCTCGGAAGAGGAGATGCAACGGAACATGGACCTATTCTCCGCCGCCTGCGAGAACTTTGGGCTGGTTATCAACACGCAAAAGACGGTGGTGATGCACCAACCGCCACCCAACTCAGCCACAGCCCCCAACGCGCCGCAAATCAACGTGAATGGGACTCAACTGCAGGTGGTAGATAACTTCCCGTACCTGGGCAGCACGCTCTCCCGCAACACCAAGATCGACGACGAAGTCGCCAACAGGATCTCGAAAGCCAGTCAAGCCTTCGGTCGCATCCAAAGCACAGTTTGGAATCGCCACGGTCTTCAGCTGAGCACGAAGCCGAAGATGTACAAGGCCGTCATCCTGCCGACACTACTGTATGGAGCGGAGACTTGGACGGTGTACGCAAAGCCGGCACGCCGTCTGAACCACTTCCACCTCAGTTGTCTTCGTCGCATCCTGAGGCTGAACTAGCAGGATCGAATCCCCGACACTGATGTGCTGGAAGGGACGGGAATCCTCAGCATCTACGCCATACTGAGGCAAATGCAGCTGCGCTGGAGCGGCCACCTGGTGCGCATGGACGACGAGCGACTACCCAAACGACTCTTCTACGGAGAAGTCGCGACGGGTTCTCGTCGTCAAGGAGGCCAGATTCGCCGTTACAAGGATACCCTGAAGTCCTCCCTGAAATGCCTGCAAATCAACCCCAACAACAGGGAGGAGCTCGCACTCGATCGACCGACCTGGAGGAGGACAGTGAAGACAGGCGCTGCGATCTACGAAGCCAACCGCATCGCTGCCGCCAAAGCGAAACGTGAAGCCCGCAAATCACAATGTCGCCCAGTAAGCAACGCCGCCGCACAACCGCTTCCAACGTGTCCTCGATGTCAACGGACAGTCCGGGCTCTAATCGGACTTGTTGCACATCTTCGGATTAACTGCGCCTCTCGAACGGCACCAACCATCGTCCCCCGCCTGCCTCTTCCTCCTCCTTTCCGCCGCCAACTAACCTTGACAATTCTTCTGACTCACCACTTCCATCATCCTCCTCCTCGCCCACTGCTTCAACGGCGGCCGCTCAGGCGACTGTCCCGCGCACATCAACCGACACTACCGCCACCTCCCCCGACTCCAGGCATGAGGATCAGGACTACACCTGCCCTCACTGCGACCGTACCTTCACCTCAAACCTCGGCCTGGTCGGTCACTTGCGAATCCATCGCACAGAGACTGGCGAACCAGTGCCTGGAGCACCCACCTATACCCACCAAGCTCGTCTCAACTGCCCACACTGCCCTCGCACTTTCAGGCGTCGCATGGGCCTATTCGGCCACATGCGCATCCACGACGACCTGCGGTAGACAACCGCCGGTCACACCACACATTCACTCACTCCCTACCTCCTCCACCACCACCATCACCCCACCAGAAATCAACATTCACACACATCATGCACCCAACTGCCACCTCCCACGCAAGTGGGAAGTCCGCATCTCGACTCGGTCCCCATGCGGCTTCGGCTGCACGGTGGACTTGAGTCCGAGACTATCCCGACACGTCAAGCGTCGTGGATAGGAAGGTTGCTGATTGACGCCCGCTCTCGGTTCACGCAGTTCGTCGCGTTGTGTGTGTGTGTGTGTTGTGTGGAGTGGCGGACTGGTGGGCCGGGAACGGGCTGAAATAGCACCTTCCGCGGCACTCTCACGCAAGTGAGAGACACGCCGTTCAACCCCCGTTCTGTGAAATCCTGGTGTTTGTGTGTGTATGGGGGGGCCAGGTCGTGCCGTGGCGCGCGCAGTCATGGTCAGTCGACCATGACAGCCACCGCGCCCATTCCCCACTCCAGTCTGCTGACCGGCTCGTACAGCGGCTGGGGTGTGGGAGTGGGAAGGGAGAGTGAGGTCGACGACTCAGCGCACTTTCTCCTCACTATAAACAATCTGACGCGCTTGAAGCTATCACGATGCGCTAAAAGCCGTGGCTTGGAAGGTTGCCAACTGACGGGGTAACTGGGACCTCCTCCTTAACTGGAGGCGGTCTGAGAGTCAAACTGTAATGGCTCCTTTTTAATGTGGCCTTTATGGCATTCCCACCACAGTGTGGGATCCGAGCCAGGCGTTGGCGGCACGCCTAGGTTCGGCTTCGGTCGTGCCAGCCTCCAAATCTCTCTTGTGTAGGTTGAAATCCTGGTTATTTGTTGTGTGAACCAGGGGGTGTGGTGTAACGCCAAGGTGAGGATCCGTCCGAGCCATCCACCTGCGGCCTCTCTCGTCTCCGGTCTTCTTGACTCTGTCTTGACACCGGGCTCGGGCGAGGGAGGAGGAGAGAGTGTAGGTAGATGCTACGCAAGTCTACCGGCACTATAAACCCCTGCGTAAGTCACCGTCCCTGTTCCCATTGCTGCTGCAACTGTGGTGCGCACGGTGGACATCATCGAAACCGATGGTCGAACTGTCACATATTAAATAAGGGTCTTGCGCGCTCATAATGCAGCCTTCAGTTCAGCATTTCGAACGCAGTTCAAAGTATTTGCTTAAATTTTTAAGGGCACTCGTTTTAAGCAGACAACACAAGAAGTATTGAATAAAATTCCGTCATGTTGGTGAGAAATATCGGTGAAGGAGAGGTAAGTGCGTAAACATTGTTCTGATCGCTGTCGATTAAACCTGTGGGAACAGCGCTTGAAAACGACAAAAACACAACGTCAAGAATATGGTTCTTTATTTTCAAAAAGGGCATCCAAAATATCAACAAAAAGAACATGGCCCAAAAAGCCCTGCCAAGAAATACAAATTCAAAATAAAAAGTTACTAGAAATACTCAACTACTCGTCATTATCGTCCTCTTCAGTCACAGGTTCTGGCGCAACAACCTCATCCTCGGACTGCCGGACGTGAATAGTACTCCTCGCCTGTCCTATCAGGCCTGATGTGGCATCCAGCAAGTTCACTGGCGACCGACCGTCTGTAATGAGGGTGCTCTTTAGGTTCAGGGCACGCAACATGCGCACATCACGCTCCGGTCCGGCACAGGCAATATGGCGAAGGTTTTCAGCACCCAAGGCCCCGACACGCTTGAGGAAGTAAGCTGTCTCGATCTCCACATCTTGTTTTTTGCGCTCGAGGTTCAGCTGGTTCTTCTTCTGTATATAATCCAACTCCGCCTCACGAGCCAACTTCAAGCGTTTCAGCTCCGCGTCCTAGAGAACATCAGACGTACAGAAGAGAGCGGGGTAGAAAGTGATAAGACGACTGAAAGTGCGAGAACAGACAGACTCAACTTACTGCCTTAATCTCCTCCGCCTCAGTCTCTAGCCTGGCTTTCTCGACTTCGGCCTGACTGCTGATGAGAGCAGCCTCCACGCGACTCTGAGCTTCTGCCTTGGCCTGACCGGTGCTCTCCAGGGCAGCCAACTGGACTTGAAGTTCCAGCAGACCACGTCGAGCCTCCTCAGCCTTTGCCTCGTCCTCAATTCGCTGGCGTTCCAGCTTGCCGCGGGCTTCCTGGTCCAGACGTTCGGCCTCCTGTCTGAACAGCAAGCGGGACTGAATGAGCGACGTCTAGGTCGGCTCGCAAAATGACACACAAAGTAGCAAAAGACCAATCACGGGTGCGTGGGGGACCGGCGTGAAAGAAGGAAAAAAGGCAAAAGCCCTAATCACCAAGGTGAAAAAAAACATAAGAGTGTCAAATGCGTATAGAATGAGCTGCGACCAAAACTAGCCGATGAAACGCACATACGGGAAGATCGGTCGCAAAGCAGAGAACATCAGGTCAAACAATCTGTACATGCTACTGGTAAATCGGTTAAATTACACGCATTAGCTAATACTCAGGATTGACAACGAAGTATTAGACATAATTACACAGTAGGTACTCGAGTGCCAAGAAGCTCCAAGTTCACTCATCACTTCGCATTGTGATCATTCAACAGATGGATCGCTTTGACATTCAAGGTTTGGATCTGGTTTAAACAGAACAAAACCAAAGGTATGGATGTCATGTTGTGCGAAGGAAGAGCTGAAGAACAAAAGACCTTGAGAAAGCCCATCCATTGCAGATAAGAAGTCAGACTCATGCATAAATACTCTCTCGGATATCATGTTTGGTGGCTGAACTGCTGCAATGTGTCACCGTCCGCTGATGTCAGAATCTTTCACATTTTCTTAACACAACGTCAAGCACCGGAGCCCGTCTGCCCTGTCCTAAGGTCGTCCTCCAGTCTTCCCAACAAACAAGATTCATGACAAGGCATCTGCAATTAATACATTCGGTATCACAAGGCCACGATGGTGTGAATCATTATGAGCAAATGTATACAAACGCGATGGTGCAGAAAAGATGCGGACAGTTGGCTTTAACGTATGTCGCGAAGAAGGAGACACGATCGCCGGAACAGGAGCTTTATTAGCCTGACGTTTCGGATTCCCACTCGAATCCATCATCAGAGATGGAGTCAGATAAGGGTAGTAAGTTGCCCAGGTGCTGCAGTATTTATAGGATGGAGTTGATAGACCGATACATGCCTATCGACGGGCATACAAAGCCAATGGCTACCCGCAAAACTTCATCAACCAGTGCCTGCGCAAACCGGACGAGAGACGAAATCCAACTGGTCCCAAATTTTGGCGAGCTCTACCGTGGTGAAGAATGTCTCAGAAGCCGTCTGCCGCCTTCTCACACTCTTTGGAATCGGAGTAGTACACCTCCCGGCTGCGACAATAAAGCGCCAGATCATGTGGCCTAAAGACCCATTGTCATGGCAAGAAACATCTGGAGTCGCTTACCGTGTCTGGTGCAGCTGTGGACAAAGCAACTATGTCGGAGAAACCGGAAGACTACTGCGGACGCGGATGGTCAAGCACGCGGCAGAGGTGAGGAAAAAAGACGCCGGCTTCCAAGTCAGGACTCATTCGACAGGACCCAACCACATATTCAAGTTTGGAGAAGCAAAAATTCTTGCTAGAAATGACAACTGCGTGAGCCGCGAATCGCTCGAGTCGTAGTTTTCCGGTCCTTAATAAATCAACAAGCGCAACGATCTCCCCGCTCCATATTCGGTTCTGAGACTTTGTTTAGGCAAAGTAGTTAGTCGCGAGGACAGTGTTCGGATGACCACTGTTCCTGGTGTCAACAACAGTCTACATGGATGACGGAATCCGATGGTCAGCAACTCGACTGAATGCGATGAGCGTGGGAATCGATAATCTTGACCGGCACACAAGAGCATGGCAACTGCACGGCAACTGAATGCTTCAACACCTCGCCAGTTGATGCGTGATGCACTCGGGAGCAGCCAACTGCGACAGGCATGTAGCGGCCCAGTAACTACATCCTATAAATACTGAAGCATCTGGGAAATTTACCGCCCTTATCTGACTCTGTCTCTGATGATGGACTCGAGAGAGAATCCGAAGCGTCAGGTTAATAAAACTCTTTTTCCAGCGATTGTGTCTCCTTCGCGACTACTTTCTGGAACTGGCCTCTTCGCTTCTATTTAACGTATGCCTTCTGACCACAGTTTCTGGGGCAAGGGGGTGAGAGTCCATAAGGCATTGAAGCAGGATTTTTTGCAGCTTTCCTCCGCCAGAACTGGTTAACAATAATTACGTCTAAAGAAAAACAGGGAAACCAAGTACTGTGACTAACGCCGGACTCGGAACGTGACTGTCAAAAAAATCAACGACTGTAAAACCGCACAGTCTGGAAGCAAACTAGTTAGGATGGTACAGACAAACAGCAAAAAACGGATGTGCAACAATTTACCTGGCGGCGGCCTCCTGAGAATTACTCGTGATCTCAATTGCCAACTGAACAGACTTCTGCAGAGCATCCCGTGTGCGCTGATCTACCGGCTCAACGGCCTGCACATCCACACTAGTCACCACGAGGTTATTCTGTGGAAATACAAGCCTGTCTCCAATTTTCCCCTCCGCATCAATGCCAAAAACAGACTGTCTGATCAGAGAGGCCGAATTCTAAAAGCCAAAGTAAATTGTTGTGAAGTCAGTCGTTATCAACATTCCCGAGTCATCGCAGTTCTCGGACATATCTAAGAAGGGGGTAGATTAAACGCACCTTGTGAAACCTATCAAAATTGACTGAGGCCACAATGCCACGCACGCGAGCTGCAATGGCCTTGCAGAAATCGCCTACAAAGTCGGGTTGAGAAAACAGTTTGGTTGCATCCTCCTGCGTCGGGTTGGTCGGGATCTCGAATTGCCAGTTGTAGGAGAGTTGGATTGAAAGACGTGCGTGGTCAGCGGTCTCCACAACCAGAACGTCTGTGCAGAAATCAGGACCCAGCAACAGGCAGATGGTTTTGATCATGTTGGTGCGTTTCGGCTTGCCGCCGCTGAGGCTCAGGAGGGTGAACTCTTCGTCTGGTCCGAGCATGACACGCTCCGGGCCAAAGACGACACGCGACTTCTTGCCCTTGTAATCGTAGATCTGCACGGCGGCGTTGTGCGGCACGCGATAGGACACAACCTGTACGTAAGAGGACAAAGTGCTTATACGTGAGGGCACGTCTAGTTTCATTCATGAGATAATGAGAACTGACGTAGGTACTCTCGTAATTTTCACCCTGGCAACACACAGATGGCAGTTCAAGATGTTATACGAGTTGAGCTATTGAAAATATCAGCCATAAAATGCCGACCGAAGGAATAGTGGCAAAACAAAAGGTTAACGGTATTAAGTCAAAATCGCATGAGCTACAGTGTTGAGGAGATCCATACATATAAATCTGCTATACGAGATGTAGTTTCCAGGTTACGGCCTGAAACCCTTTTCTGGCTGCAGATCCCGTTTTCCATCGACAGCACCAATCTTTTATGGGGGTCACGTTTCGGAAGAGCCACTGACACTGACCTACGGTTCTTCAACCAGTCGCTTCAAACAGTACTGATCATAAAGACTTGGTTGTTTCCTAACTTGGCAAACTTCCAGACCAAGACTCGTAGCGCGCCGTGATACACTGGAACGCATCAGATTTACTGCCATGAGGAATGCTAATAAGTACGAATCAACTATTACCACATACACACACACACATACCCTTGTAGGGTCCCATGCTTTCTCTCCATTCCCGCATCTTTTCCGGTATTCAGCCCTCTCACCCTGAGGATCTTTGTTGGCTCTGAGAATTTGCTCTATTGCAGGGGAAAGAGTCTTTGGCCAAAGTTCCTCGTCCTGATTCAGCATATAGGTGGAGCCAATGACAGCTCGCACTTGACCAGAACGCTTCTCACGCACGTAGATACCCTCATTCTCGTCCAGAGGTATGGCCTGCCGGACCGTAACTACCTCCACTTCGATCGGCGGTACATACTCCAGAGGTCCCGTAAGCATCCACTCTTCACCCGCAGTTCGTGCCTTTATTAAGAGAAAAATCATCGATAAAAGGATTATATATTTGGGAATTAAGTCCTTTATTATAAGTGAACAAAGAATGGCCCGGACTACACGTCCATTTTCCGGTACTATTGCCGTCCAAATGCCTGTGGCCGCATGATATAAAACCACACGAACGTGTTGCTAGCACAAATACTAATACACGCTGAAAAACCAAAGATTAGAAAACCCGAAAAGTAAGGTTTAAGACCTACAGTGTTTCCGTCTTGGAATGACTCCATGGCACGAAGAATGATGCCCTCGTTTTGGCCCAGAACATACACGTTTTTTATTCCGTCATCCAACGTCTCTCCCGGCATCAAGAAGAACGATTTCTCGCCCCGAACGAGCATTCTTTTGCCGATTCTTGGGACACCTTTGTCGTCAACCGGATCGCAAATGACGCAGTAATTGTTCGAGGCAAGAACAATGGGTGACACAACTCGGACCACCTCTTCATTTACGCTGGGGATATGGCTTTCGGCGTCCAAGTGGGTGATTAACCACTCTTCTCCATGCCTTCTGCGCTTGCCAAAATCGTCGACATGAGTTCGTTTCGCTCTGACGTGAAGAGCATGCTTAAATGAGGAAATGAATAAACTATCGTAAATCCGTCAAAGGTCAGGCAAGCAAGCCCACAACAAGGGCAAATATCGTACACTGGCTATCGAGAACAGCTTAGAAAACAAAGGCGAACTCACTTTCTCATCCAAATGATACGCCTCGAGAGTTTTGACCCGCTCTTCATAGGCACCTATCATATATGCACCCACGGACTTCACTAACCACTCCTCACCGTATACGCGCTTCTGGCCGTCTTTGCCGGTAAAATCCATCAAAGCACGCAATAGAAGAGCTGTATTCGGACTGATCATCTCCGCCGTTCGTGTGGAAAGCACCTGGACTTCTTTACGAGGCTTGTAAATGCCTGGGGAGAGATTGCAATCAACAGACTTTTCGTATGGAGGAAATTGCATTTGCAGTGAATGAAAACAATATGATTTGCATATTTTTATCGCCTCCATAATTTACCAGTCTTATGTAGAAACCAGTCGTGAGTAGAAATGATTGTAATAACAAGCGATATGCAATCAGAAAACAAAACATCTACAATCAGCGCTGACAGAAAAACGAAAGTTGCCATGGAAGTCTGGGAAGACAGTCAAACTACTAAGAAGCTTCCGGAATACCTTAGTCCCCTTAATCAAACTTAAGGGGTTCAAATACTGTTATTAGAAATTTAAAATAACTTATTTCGAGAATGCTGGTGCTTTATGTTAGATCCTAGAGCCAGAATTTCAGAGCAATTAGATAAACACAAAGCCCGTAAACATCTAACGGTCGGAATAAATGGAGAATCGTTATTGAAAACGTAAGAAACTCCCGCCTGTTGAAGAGGAAGACCCCAGCTTTCCCTTCCAATGCATATAATATAAAACGACGTGGAAGATAATTTTGAATTTTTTCGTGAAAGGGTTGAGGTATAAATGTCTTCTCAGTCAATACTTACGATCCGAGTAGTAGAATCTTCGAATACGATATTGTATAATATAATACTAACCTAAGATATATCTTGTGATGTTTTACACTCATGCCGGTCCTCGGCGAACAGACACGGAACAAGGCGGAAAACTTGATAAGTCTTGCGCACGCACACTTTCTATCAATCATGTATACGATCGTATACATGATCGAACGACACCATCATAAACTGAGCTGATTGTTTCTTCTAAATTGATGAAACGCCTGTGACCGTACCGTCCTGGCGGATTCGCATTCCTGTGAAGGACATCTTTTAAAGGCCTATCTTTACAAGAGCTAGCTCTAAATTGTGGTGTTCCTTTTGTGCAAAATCACGTACCAGGACCTTCGAAAAGCCACAGTTCACCAGCCACGCGGTCAACACCGTCCTCCGATTTAAAGTCCACTAATGCAGACAGCAAAAGGGCCTTGTTTTGAGAAAGAACCGTAAGAGGCGTAACTTCCTTCAGGAGCTCTTCACCAGGATACAACGGAAAGGGGGACTGGGCAAAACGGTACTCCTCGTCGCCATAGGCCAACGAGGCCTGGCCATATTCATCCATTATGACGTTCCCATTCTCGTCTTTCTTCACGGGGTTCGATATTATGCAGTATTCCTTCGGTGTTATAGTAATCATCCGTTGGGGCATTTTGACAATTCTAGACCGGTTTAAGCAAAGAGTTAGCTTACTTTTCATGGTCCTTCCTAAAGAAGGTGACTGGACCAGAAACTAGTCTGGTGACATTCGTGTTTTTATCCAAAACATGGATAAAGTGGTATGGTGGAATAGCAACACTTATTGAATCTGGCGGAGACATCGTCAGCTTCGGTGTGGAGGTCGAGTATTGAACAGATGCGTCAAGGTCTAAAACTCATTGGTGAGTCAGTAAAACAACATCCCGCAAGACAGTCGCTTAAGCTTGTGTCCAGGCAGCAGTTTGAGTGGGAAGTTCGCAAGATGCTGATTTCTTTATAAAGTATCTTTCGACCATGCTTTTACTCGCCAATACGGAGTAATTTAGTGTTTCGACAACAATGAAAATCTCGTCGTTAGTTAAATTTAAGTGTTCCGTTAAATCGGCCACTTTGACCAAAGCATTATCCATTTTATTTTCGGTTGGTTATCAAATAAAGTGATCGAGTTACTGCTGTGATAAACCTCTCTTCTATACAAATATGGTTTCTCTAGATTTTGTCAATTTAATTCAACCTTAACACAAATGTGCGCGTCTTGATTTCCGACAACATTTGGTGGGTATACCTGCAAAGCAGTAAATTAAAATGTATTGTTTGTGTTGTCCGATGTGTGAAACAAAACATGTTTCCGAAGGGCACTGGTGTGCTTTTGAAGTATCATTTTCTTCATAGACTATGCACCTATATCACGAAATAGGGAAATGTTATTAGGAAAAGACTGAAAATTGGATGTTGGACGGTGCTTTGAAAACATTCCAGACTTTATTAAATCTGGTCTCAATGGTACATTAAACAGCGCAGTCAAGTCTGGCAAGTCATTGCGAGTCCAAATTATCAGAGAGCCCTTAAAGATAATGTACACCGATTGCAAGCATGGTGGGAGAAATGTCTTCTGGGTCTCAATGCGAAGAAGTGGGCCGCCCTTTATATGCGACCAACCAACTGTCATTCAACTGGGGGCCTGAAGACACGTCACCTGAAGGAAATTAGACTTCCCGCAGAATCTCCACAGATGGACCTCGGCATGTGGATACAGAGCGACATGAAACCAGCACTGCAAGGAAAAAAGGCTGTAAAAACGCGATGGGAGTGCTCCATGCAATCAAAAAGGCGTTCGTAACCTTCGACGAAGGCCTTTTTAGAAGAGTTTGTGGCACCTTTGATCGGCCCCATTTGAAATATAACATAAAAGCGTGACGGACATGGCTAATAATGGACGAAACATGCCTTGAAAGAATACAGCGTCGTGCAACGAAGCTGGTGAACAGTTTAAGAAACGAATCCTACATAGAAAGACTGAATTGCCTTAATTTATTCTCCGTGTTACAGGCAGCAATGAGATGATCTTATTCTGGTTTATAAGGTAATACACGGCCTTGAGCATGGACTTCGCTTTGAGGACATGTTTTAAGCGCGCCTTTCGCCCAGTCCTCGTGCGGACAAAAATGTTCAGGCTGAATCTTCGTGCCGAATTTTCACGCAAAGGGTAGTGGTCAAATGGAACGACCAGCCTCAGTCAATCGTGGGGCCGACATCCCTGTAACTCTTCAAGAAACGCTTGAATGATTATTTGTGTCCTCTGTTTCCCTTCGACAGTCTGATGCTGAGCTAAGTATTCCGCGACCTCCTGAAATTATTTCGCCGAAACAATGTTGCTCAAGTGAAGTGTTTATCATTTTAGAGTCGGATATATTCAATGTTCGTGCACAGTTCCAGTTAACGTGCTGACATGTAATCATTAGGACTTTCAAAGGCATTGCCTATTATCCTTTCCAAACAAACTGAAACTGAAATAAATATAGCAGCAGCAGTCCCTTTTGTAATCTACGAAACCACAAAGGACCAAGGCTCGCAGGTCAGGAACTTTCTTGGTAAGTTAAATTCCGGAGTTCCGGCGTTAAAACCCTCCTATTAAAAATATTTTAATCGGATTATTTTATCTTCCCCTCAGCAGCACGCATGAGGCTAAATAAAAACGAACAGTATTCCAGGCCAGGTCTAACGCACATGTTATAAAAGCACATTATAATATAGTTGGTTTTAAAGTTCTGAAGGATAAGCCCAGTCATTCTACGTGCTTCGAATACTATCAGGGCGCAGTGCTCCGAAGGATTGAGACTCTTGGAGTATAATACACCCAGATTCTTAATAAGCCCAGGCACATTTGTGTCGTGACCGTCAATACTTAGTTGAGGTTGGCGGTCGTAGCCAACCACCAAGACTGAATACTCATGCAAAGAAAGAAAAAAGTGCCATGCAAGGTACCACTGAGAAAAGGCCTGTAGGTCACTTTTTAGGAGCTCAAGCACGATGTCACGATCTGCCAGATCTACAATTTTAAAATTAATGTAAATGTTTTTTTTTTGCTATGATAGGACCCCCACGGATCTTGAATTAAAATTAGTATTATACCTATATGCAAATTTCAGATCATCGGCTAACATGGAGTGCTTTCCATTCTGAAATAAACCTGTTATGTCGTTAGCAAAAAGGCAAAATAATAGCGGCTCGAGTGCAAAACCCTGAATGACTCCCCTCCTCACACATGTGAGGTTTGAGATAGCATTACAAGTCTTAGCTCGTTGTGTACGAGCATCTATGTAAGAGGATATAAAATTCAGAAGTTTACCACCCATTCCGAAGGCGGACAGTTTCAAGAGAAGAAGAGCATGGTCAACAAGGGAATTTGAACTAGACTGTGTAAAGTGCAAAACCATGGTCCGTATATTGGAGAACATGATCGAAAAAACAGAGCTGACAGGTGTCACAATACTGAGCTTTAAGCAGTCCATGCTGAGCAGCGTTCAGTAGGTTATAAACTGTTAAATGACACATCATCTTATCTTTGATCAGCGCCTCCAAAATTTTTAAAACGACGTCAACGATGTTTATGGGCCGAAAGTGATCAAATTAAGTAGGCTGGCCATGCGTTGGAGTGGGCGCGATGCGCTCTGATCGGCCCGGCGATGGGAAACCTTCGCCCTTCGGGAGGCCGCCACGTATTCGCAGATCCGGTTTCTTCACAGGTGTCTCGACAATAATGTGTTGCCGAAATGTGTTTCATATAAGCCTCCGGTTAACACAGATTTGGCGAGACGAGCAGTATTTCAACATGGCAGAAGGATGATCCGAGTGCTCCTCCAAGATTGCCACGCGACACTTCGCAAGAACCGTCAAGGGATTGACCAAGAAAAGACCAGATGCTGTGAGTTCATGGGTGAGATCGGTATAAATCTGCTCCTGCTGAGGATAGCTGAACAAGCCCGCAAACAGACAATGATACGCGACGCAGCACTGGAGAACAAATTCCAAAAGCTGCACAATCAAACGTCGCCCAGAAACGACAAACTGGTGCGCAACCTGTGGTCAAAGGAGCTGACGAAGGATTAGATTCAGGTTTTAAGGCACGAAGATTCATTCAACACGACTGACGCCAAACCTGTTAACATGATTGCAGCAGTGGAATCAATCCTTAGTCAGACGGAGGCAACGGAGGAGACAAAGAGCCTCATCCGACACCAAGTGTGGTCTCTCCTAATGGCCCACAGGCCGCAAGAAGTGCTTTCCAAGGTCGAACGTGATGTGCTTAGAGAACTCAAGACCGACAAAGACTTGGTCATCGTGCCAGAGGACAAGGGGCGCTGCACGGTTGTGCTGGAAAGGACAGACATCCTTCTATGTCCCATGTGCAATGAACCCTGTCAAAGCGCTGACACGCGAAATCAATGCTACGTTGTTTGCCTTGGAGAACTCGGGTGCAATAACACCGACCGACAGACGCATGGCAAGACCCCAAGATACGGCTTTGGCCCGATTCTATGGCCTCCCTAAGGTGCGCAAAGACGACGCTCCTCTCCGACCCATCGTGTCGCTCAAAGGTACTCCAACGTACGGACTGGCTAAGTGGCTGTTCCGGCGTCTCAAGTTCCTGACCGCTGAGTCAGACACCACGGTCTCTTCGTCAACAGAATTCCTGGAGAAACTCAAAAGGGTAAGCCTCCATCCAAATGAGGTCATGGTATCTTTTGATGTTACACCCCTTTTTACTTCTATTCCCCAGGACCTGGCGATCGAGACAATCGAGCTGCTTCTACAAAGCAAAAACGATAAAACGGAGAATCGTCTTGGACGCGCCCAAGTCCTTCAGCTCCTGAAGTTCTGTCTCAGGACGTACTTCACTTTCGACGGGACAATCTACGAACAAATGAAGGGCACACCAATGGGTTCGCCGATTTCGGGGTTCATCGCCGAGGCGGTCCTGCAACGGTTAGAGTCGCTGGTCTTCCAACACCCCAAACCGAAGTTCTGGGCCCGGTATGTGGATGATACCTTCGTCGTTATCGATCGGGATCAACTGCTGACATTCAAGGACCGTCTGAATGCGGTCTTCCCGGACATACAATTTACGATGGAGGAGGAAGAGAACAACCAGCTGGCCTTCCTGGATGTCCTCGTATGCCGCAAAGATTGTGGTGAACTAAAAACCAAAGTGTTCAGGAAAGCGACAAATACGATGCAAGTACTGAACTTCAACAGCGACCACCCAATCAGTCACAAACGCAGTTGTGTAAGGACGCTCTATCGGCGTGTCGAAACGCACTACAGTGAGCCGGAAGACAAGATTGCTGAACTACAATACCTCCGACGGGTCTTCAAAGTCAATGGCTACCTGCGCAACTTCGTCGACCGGTGCATACGCAAAAGGGACGAAAGGCCTAACCGCACGGACACTAAATCTTGGCGGGCACTTCCGTATGTCAAGAACGTTTCGGAAGCTGTCGGCCGCCTTCTAGCACCACTTGGGGTTAGAGTGGCACACAGACCGGAGGCAACCATCAGGCGTCTGATCATGAAACCGAAAGACCCACTGCCACGGCTAAAAACGTCTGGAGTCTTTTATCGGATCTGGTGCAGTTGCGGACAAAGCGACTACGTCGGAGA